ATTCCTGCTTCGCTCAGCATCTGAAAAGTATATTTAAATAAAAGCATATATAAAACAGGGTACGTATTACTTTTTTTTTTTTGCCTCAAAGGAGATTTGTAGGATTAACTTCATAACTACCGGAAAGGCTTTAGAAAATTCTTGCTATGAGCATCATGTATAAAAAGGATTCTTTTTATATGAAGTCATTACAAGAAAGTAACTTCAATATAAAATATTTTCAAGAATTTATACATGGAAGCCTGTTTAAAAAAAAACAAAACATGAAAAAAACCATGTTTTATATATTTTTGGTGTTTTGTGGTTTTTTAAAATACATTTAAAAAAGCATGGATTTGCTCTACCAGTATTAATAAAAATGGGAACACTTCATAGTTAGAAGTATAAAAAGTAATCAACTCAATGGCTTAAACACTGCATTATGGTGCTGACTTCAAGAATTTACATGGATTTCATGCAGTCTCTATTTAGTGACTCACCTTAGAATCATCCAGTTCCAGCTTTTTCAGAGACTTTCTGACATAATCTATGAAGGAAGATGATTTGGAGAAAGTTTTTCCAACATGCCGATCACTGCAAATACAGCATTGATATGCAGGCTTTATACATCCATGAACAGAAATGTACAAATTTTAAATTAATTTTAATAATTTTTTAAATTCAGGATAAATCAATCAGCTACTTCTGCCAAGTCAGGAACAATTTTCCTTTCTTCCCCTTTTACTTAAAAGAAAATGAGGTTGCTAATACTTGAAGAAATTTCTAGATACAGCACCCGTGAAACTATACTACAGTTATAGCACAGTTATAATTTTACCTAAAAATGGAATAGTTGAGGTTTTCTTTTTAATTTCTCCTTAATATGTTTATTTCTCTATATGAATGACAAAAAAATGTATTTTCACTAAAAGATATTTCCTACTATACATCTATAATGCTATATAATTTACTATAACTCTGATGTAATTCATTTACCATCAACCACCAGACTGAGCAAATGCCAAGTTGGAGTAACATTTACCTTTTGCTTGTTACCTTGTCTTCTTATTCTCACAATTTTTTATTTCATGACGTGATGCCAGAATTTTCTCCTGTTTACAACTCAATGGCTTACTTGTGAAGCCAGCCAAAAACATGGGTTGCTTAAAAAAATAGTTAAGATAATGTACAAAAACTTAAAAAAACATATAGAAAGACTGAATCCTAACTGGCCACATATTTGTTCTCTTTTCTTTGTTTAAAGTGCCTTGGACAAACAACACACAAAGTTTCTGTTACTCTGAATTTGCTGTCTTGACTGTGTCTTAACATAATTCCTCTTCCAGCTGTGCAGAGTAGGAGTTCCATTTCCAGCTACAGTAGCTGTTTGTGAGTATTCAATTACTTAAAAGAAAATACACTTTCTCCCCCTCTGTGAAATACTAAATAGAAATATCTTCACTTAAAACTTTTTCCCCTCTTTATTCTTAGTAAAACATGTTTCTCCTTATTTAAGGAACAGGATTAACATCTACTGAGGTCAGCAGAGAGACTCTACTCAGTGGTCATTCTAATGGTGTTTAGCTGGCAGGGATCCTCACCCACTGAGAATCAACAGTCACATTTATTTTTAAAGAGAGATTTAATTTATGCAGTCATACTGAATATTCAGATGCACCTAAACATTTTGGCTAATGCAATCTGAAAATCAGCTAATGATGAGGCTGTTATGTCATTCTTTGCAAGATAGGCACCTGCCCTCCTAACCACAAGTTACAGGGGTTGTCTTGGTTGGGCTGGGACGGAGCCAACTTCACAGCAGTCCATCTAGTGCTGCATTTTGGATTTGTGACTTAAAATATCGCTGGTAACACACCAGTGTTCCAGCTGTTGCCAAACAATGATTGCACATCATCAAGGCCTTCTCTGTTTCCTCCTCTCTCCCCCCAGGGAGTAGGCTGGGGGCACACAGGAAGTGTAGGGGGACATGGCCAGGACAGCTGATCTGAATGGACCAAAGGGATATGCCATGCCATAGCAATAAAACTGGTATGGGGAGAGTCTTTCCTAGGTAGCCATTACTCTTATTTCAACAGTATAATCTTAATTACTTCCTCCAAATGCTACTTTCTTTAACAAATGAACATACTATCATCTATCTGCCACTTTTTTTTTCTTAATATTTTATATAACTTTAAAATAAACATGCATTCATTCTTTCAGGAGTTTGACCTTCTGAAGAGCAAGCTGTCTGGCTCTACATTCAGCAAAAGATTTGGGGGTATCTGCATTAGCATTTATTTTAGATTAGGAGTAAACTTCTCAAGTGAATTTTCCAGTTTTCTTCACCTCCTGTACCTTGGTTCACACCATGGAATAGGATCAGAGCTCAAAAAATGGGGTATTTTCATATTAAATTAAAATGGAAGGTGTGCTTCTGGATGTGCTCTGAGTGCTAAAAGGCACATAACCGACAGAATTAGATAAAATCTAGTCCAACTACAACTCCAGAAAAGGAGTATAGTGCAGATGTCCTCAGCACCAGCTCTCCAAACCCCATCCTCCACAGGCAGTTGAGTAGATCTTTACAGACATGCTGGCCACTGGGCTTTCAGCAGCTTTTCTCAAGATAAACGGAAATGTCTTTTTGTCTTCTGTAGTATTAAAGCTGCCAGGATTTCTGCATAACACGGTAGCCCAGGACTGGGTTGACTTTTTACTGAATTTGAAATCAGTTCTGTGGTGAAGACATCTTTTATCCACATTCCAGTACCAAAGAGGACCTATTTCAGTTTTGAGTAAAGGAAGGGCAATGCATTTGTGTTGCTGATTTAAGATGAATGAATGTATCTTGCATTTTAATATCTATTTACAGTCTGATGGGACTTTACACCATTCTGCTTTCTAAGACATACTTTCTCTACAGAATAGAAGTGGCAGAGAATCAGAGCTTTGGTTTGAATTCCATGAATTCAGAGCATCCTACCTTTTGGTGACACCATAAATTTCTTCTATAATAACCTGAAGAACAGCTCGATAAAACAATGATTCTGTAGGAAGCTGCAACAAAATTTACAACAGCAAGGATTAAAAATTAGCATAAAAATTAAGATTAGAGTAACAAAACCAGTATCGGCTTTTGTAACTACTTGCTGGCTTTTGTTCTTTACAATCACTTGTAACAGGTTTAAGAGGACAATTTACTAATGTTCTTGCATCCAGTTAAAACTAGGGTTTTGGGTCAGAATCTAACGGAACCATGAACGCAAGAAAAAACCAAGAAACAGACTCACATTTGGCAGAGGGAAAAACACAAGGAAAAACATACTGATCGTGATCCATATTTGACTACCCCAAATAAATATAACAATTTACCTAAGCTGTTTTAAAGACAAAATGAGTGACTCCTTGGCTGAATCATCATACACCATAGTATGAACCATGCAGAAAGTACTAGGCTCATAAGAACAGAATACAATGAAAACTGCGTATCTTTGTGTGTAAAAGGCCCGCTTGCATAAAAATAGCTAATGCTTGCCAATTAAAAATTCATGGCAAAATGCATTTAATAGTAAAAGAGGACTGGGGTCGGTGGGCTGACACGTGGAAAGGGGTTGCTCAGTCTTGCCTTTTAAATATTTGCACAGTTGGTATCCAACATCCAAAAGGATAACGTGCACAACAGTAATACAATGTATTAACAGGGAAAAAAATATACAGGGACTGAAAAATGAGAATGATTACGTTTCTAACAGGTTCAAGCTTTTGTCATAACAGTTTCTATTTTTACACTAATTGATAATACACTGGAATGGAGTGATCCAAGCCAGGGATATGAGAACGACATTTGTACTGAATTTATGTATTAGCTAAGAGATAGCAAAAGAAGTTAATGTCTTAAAATTTAAGCTGTGCTTCTTTTTTTCCAGACTCTTAATTGTAAAAAGAAAACAGATTCACTAAGTACAATGACAGCAATAAAAAAGTGATTTCATGATGACACATGCGATCTATCAGGATTTGATATAGTGTATGCTAGTATTCCAGAAATGAACAAGTTCAAAAAAGGGTCATGGATTGAGAGCATTCAAGGGGCAAAACCACATTTTATCTTAGAATGGCTAAAATAAACAGTATTACTTACCATTTGGCCAACTGCAACTCGCTCCAAAGCCTTTAAGAGTGAAGGAATTAAATTGCTGGTATGTTTATTCTTTATCAGAACATTTTATAAACACATTGTATAAAAGTCAGAGGAGATGACATTTTAAAAGATTAATGGTGTGACATAACATGAGCTTGCACACTTTAAAGTGTTAATACCTTTAGGGACTCATAATCAGCTCACTCCTGTTATTTTGGTTTATTTATAGGAGAAGCAATGACAACCAACTATATGGAAATAGATGCATGCAGAATTTGTTTGTTTTTCTTAGTATTGTAAAAGAATTTCAGAGGATTACTTTCTGTTAAAGTCCAAAAAGGAATTAATTTTTCTTGAGTATGTTCCTACCAAAATACAAATAATTTACTTTGCATATGAAACTATTTGAAAATAAATATTAGTTCAGTGTACAATGTCTTTAAATACTTTTATTCCCTGGTATTCAGATAAACTGAACTTCTCTATGTAGAATTAAATAGAATTAAAACGCCAGAGGGACTGCAGTTTAAAATGCTGTGCATTAGTTTTCACTAGATTCTTCATACCATAAATTCTGATGCAAGTGTGAGAGTACTTGATATTTTTATGATCCATAGTGGCAAAAAAATAACAAATAATTAGAAGCGTGGAATATTTTTCCACAATTGGAAAGATAATGTGCCTATAAAAATTCCAACTGCACGTTAAAGATCATAGTAGAAATGACAAAAATTCAGTAAATTATCTGACACTAGAACAAATCAAATTAAACTGCCTCACCACTTATGTATCATCATCGCCTTTGGTTCCCAGACTTCCACTACAGTAAATAAGACTGCTTGTTTCTTTAGAACTGATCATGTCTTTCAGACTGTTCTTCAAACAGAGTACAAGTAGTTGCAGTTCCTCCATTCATGGCTCTGGCTGAATGTCAGGATTGACTTCTGCTCTCATATCAATGTATACCTGCTGCTGCTTAGAAGATGGATGTGGGTTCTAAGATGTACTGCAAGGAGCCAAAACTGAAACTATCATTCAGAACCTTTGGCCCTGGGTACTTTAACCCATTTGAATGACCAGCAATACTGAACATCATCAATACTATGGATGTCATTGCTTAGCAGACTGTTTCTCCTAGGCAGCCATTACCCTTAGGAAGATGGGAGCCTGGCTGCGTTGCGCTGTCTCCCTTGTACCTCCTAAAAGGCATGGAAAATCCAAGGCATGAAAAATGAAGACAGAATTGCAAATATAATAACAGTAGAAGTATCAAGTGACACAGGAGAACTCTTTGTCTTTTGTGAATGTTACAACAAAAAAAGTTTTTAACTGCCAAATTTCTCTGATTTCTGTGAAATCTAAAAAAGATATAAATGGCACGATCAATAGACTCTTGGGAGTCATTCAGTTACAAAATTTATCTTCCTAAAATTGCTGAAAAACAGCCCAAACTTTTACCTTCCAAAAGAAACAGAATGGGAAAGGAAATAGCTAATGTGTCAGATGAGGAAGAATTGGTATTGCATGACACTAAAAAGAACAAGAAAAAACGCAAATCCCTTTTAGCAAGCACTTTTCTTTTTGTGATAAGTTTTATAGCAACATCTCTAAAAGGAACAATTTTTTTCTTGTACCTTGACAAGAGTAACACATGTAAGCCTCACGAATACTAAACAACTGTCCTCCTATACCTTCTCCTGATAGCATTTAATTACCATCTTGGTTCAAGTTTACACAACCTCAGAATGTTAGCCTATACTGAGTCTTTAGTCCATACTTTTCTCAGTAAGAGAGGTACAGAGCTAGCAGCAGAGGCTAGACAGAATCTGATGTGACTCATCTTGATACCAGAAATCAAAAATTAATATAGGAAAGGAATAGTAGTCTTCTAACCGAAACAGTGGTTGAGATTTTCAGTACATATGTGTTTTTTCAAATTAGACAACAGTTCATCATCCTGTCTTGATGAGGTTAGGTCTTTAAAAGCACTTCATCTCTTGGTGAAATGTTAAAAAGATGTTTCCAGTCTCTTAAGCCACATGGATTTTAGAGCTCTTCTAGTTTTTGGAATAGGAAAGTTTGTTTAGGTTTTAAACAGTCAGAACATTCAATATTATGAAACATTAAGGCGTTGGGGGAGTTACTGATTGCAATCCTTCTACAATTACCTTGTTCCCCTCTAAGTCCTTGGCCAGGAAGTATTACCCTGAGGAGTTACCTTGTTTAGGTTTCAACAAAGGTTTGGCCTTTCTGTCCACTCTTAAAATATATTTCTGTCGATACTCATTTTTTCATGCCTTCAGCAACTATAAAATATATAAAGCTGGAGGTCAATACTATTTTTTTTAGATATAATTCATCATGCTTACAACATTAATGATGTTATTCTGTAGAGTCTTGGATTAAAGTCATGGCTCTAGGATTAGAAGCCAAAAACAATGAATCCTGTAACATCTGGATAAAGCTCTCAGTAGGAAAAAGAAAAGAGGGAGAATCATACCAAGCATGCTGACATTCTAGCATTGCGACCACAGCACCAGCCCTTGTCCTTCAAGTACTGACACATGGGAAATCCCCACATTTCCTCTGAGGAAGCTGCAAAATGGAGGGGGAAAAAAGAAAAAAATACATAGCTTTTGTGGGCTATTTTTCTTACTTACAGAATACACAATGTAATGAGCAAGCTGAACAGTAGTTAATGGTAGCCAAAACACTTAACTGTTCTAGTCCAGTACCAAAAACCGTGGTAGTGTTATAAAAAACATATTTTCCCTGGAACAGATGTTTTTTGTTTATGCTGAATTTCTGATAATTTCAAGTTCTCCATAACAATTCTAATTTAATGTCTTTTATGAAAATCCACTGAAAAAATGTTTCAAGGGACAAGAAAAAAGTTTGCAAATCCTCATAGCACCCCTCGTAGCACCATGCCATAAGTCACCAGATGTCAGCTGGGCAGTCGTTCAATGTAGCAGGACATCTATATCACTTCTCATTGGGTCCTTCTTCTATCAGACACATCTTTTAAACATCACACAGAAAAATGTGTATTTGTTTACTTCAGTTCTGAAGGCCTGTGCTTTGCTGCAAGGCAGAATGTTTGTTTTCCAGAAAAGAGCAGCTGCAAAGGCTCTTGCTGTTTCTCCATAACACCAAGAAGCATTTGCATCACAATCTGTGCTCCGTGTGTTTCAGTATCAATATTTTTAGCAAAACCACAATTGTTCATGTTTAAGACTCATGCAAATATGGGAAAACTGAAGTAAGGAAATAACTTTATAATACTCAGTTTTAAATGTAGACAAACTATAATGTTTTGAATTTTCATTAGTGCTTTTGTCAGCTGATTTTTTAGACCGCTGAATAAGAAGTACTACTTTCTTTAAAAAAAACACAACAAATTGGCTAGGATCCTGGGTTTTTAGCATAGAGGGATGACTCGGGCATATTTAAAGATAAATCAATGTAATGGGGTTAAGAAAAGGACAGCAGAAATACGACTCTTCGAATTTACCAAACGTCTGAGATACATACATGTGAGTAGAATTCATTTCATAGAAGTTAAGCACAGAAAAAGGGAAATAGTAAACTACAAACGATACAACCCTCCTCCCCACCATGAAAGCCCTTGGTTTTCTGGCAGTAGCTCCCAGTCTTGGCCAACCTCTAGAGAGTAATGGCAAGCAGCATATCTTCTGCAAGCAACCTCACACTTTGTTCTCCTTCTCGCCCTGAGAAATGCCAGGGGCTCTTAGGGGATTACTACTGGTTTGAGGACTATGATTTAAGAATAGTAGGTTAATTCTGGATAATTAGCAGAAGGAGCCAGTAAATTCCCTTAGGTATAAAAAAGAAATTTGACAATACAGATTGCAACTGATTCCAACACTAGGAAAGTATGAGGAATTGCTAAGTGCCTGATGACAAGATTTAAAACATTCATTAAGCCTAATTATTGAGCACGTGGAATAAAACTGAGTATTTCTACTACTGGGATGGTAATAAGAATTTACTGAATGTATTTTGTGCAAAAGAAACAATTACTCCATAGTACCTATTTTGTGATTTGCATTAATAGGTCTAATAAATATGTTAATATATTTCAAAATAAAATTTTGTAAACTGAGTTAGAAAGATGAAGTCATTGATCTTTTCAAATTTTCCCTTCTAATTTACACCGTCCTCTAGGCAATCCAATCATCCATGCAAGTTAATGTTGCTACCCACTGAGCTACATTCAGTATTAGTGCACTATACTCATGCATAATTCTGAAGAAGTTCTGACACCTTTAAAAAAGATAATACGGCAAAGCACCAAAACTGTAGAGTAGGAAAAAAAGAGGAAAACTAATGCTCTTAGATAGTTTTTCCATGTGTATCCAAATTTGACCACGTATCTACAATACTGCCTCAACTTCTATTTATTTTTCCGAATTCAGTCCACTATCAAGCACACTGTTAATTAAAAAATATATAAATTGTAGGATGAATATATTGCCAGAAGGATGTCATGTTTGGGCCTAACTGACAACAAAGCAGCAGCCCTGTGGCCGCTCACTCCTCCCACACCCCCACAAGACACACTCTTTGGGATGAGGAGGACAAAGCCCAACTAGAAGCTCTAGATCGGGCAAAACAGACTCTACTTGGGCACAAAACAGTAATTTATCACTTATCAAATGCTAACGGGACGACTCAAAACAAAGAGCAATGCTTAAATACATTACCCCAACCCTCCCTCCCAGGCCCAAATTAGTTTGTTCCTGGTTTCTCTCCCTCCTTCCCCTCAGTGGCACAAGGGGACAGGGAATGGAGTTTAGAATCAGTTCAGTCTGTTGTTTCCTGCCACTCCTTCCTCTTCAGGGAGAAGGATTCTTCACAGTCCTCCCCTGCTTCCCCATGGAGTCCTTCCCCTGGGAGACAGTCCCAAGAGGTACAGTCCCTCAGTAGCAGACTGCTCCAGAGTGAGCTTCCAACAGTCATGGGCTGCTTCAGTAACAGTCACCTCCCCCTGGCACACTGTCCTCCATGGCTGCAGGTCCAAGTCCACGGGCTGCAGGTCCACATTTGCCCCTCCCGGCACCTTCACAGGATGCACCACCATGTTCTCCATGAGTGCAGGGGGCAGCTGCCAACTCCCCATGGACTGCAGGGTATCTTCTGCTCGAGCACCTCCTTCCCTTTCTTCTTCACCAGCCTCGGGATCTCCACTCCAGCCGTCCTCTCACCTCTCCTGCTCAGCTCTCCTACTTGTCCCTCTGCTCTCAGGTCTGGTATCATATCTTAACCGGAGAGCTGCATCTATTCTCTCTAATGGCTCAGCCACTCAAGCCAGGGGAGCTTTTAGCAGTTTCTTGAAGCAGCCACTGCTGGGCCCCTCCCCCGCTATTGAAACAATGACAGAACCAAACCAGCACAAAATTTCATATATTTATCACCTACGTTTTACATTCTGAAACCCTGAAAATTCTGTTAATGCCTGCAACTACATTCGGATATACTTAATATTATATACCTCAGTAATTACCACATTATGCTTCTATCTGACAGCGCAGCAGCTGTTCTTAATGGTATAAATCTCCAAAAATATTCAAGCAAGATTGTGAGTATGGGCATTCTATGGAAGACTTCACAGCCAAGAGCACAAGTGGCTAACAGCACATGAAGCAATCATACTATAATTCAATATAGAGAAGTTGATCAGACAGAATTCTTCCCAAGAGCAGTTAACAAAATGGGGAATTCTAAGTAATAATTTCATGAGCTGAAATTAAACTATGCTGGGTTATAAACCTAGAACCTATTAATTAGATAGCTCTGATTTTACCTCTAAGCTAACCTCTTAAAAGATCAGACCACACATTAAGTAAAACTAATTGCAGCAAATACTGCACCAACATAAAAAACTGCAAAAAAATATTAAAAATAGTAATTCTATTACGTTCTATAACAAAATCTATAAACTGTGATATTATATTAATGTGGAGGAAGAGAACATAGGAAACATAACAGAGGAAAAGCAGCATCAGAAACAACATTAAAAGTTGTACCCTGGTGCAGCTGTGGAACAGGATGTTTCATTGTGGGCCTACCCAGATGAAATATTGACTGAAGCAGTTTGAAAATACTTGCTGTTACTTCTCATTGTTCCCATAAATTGGATATATCTGGTTGAAGAGAGGAAACATTCTCATAAAAATCATCCAGTTTCACATAGTAGGGTTAGACAAAGTGTAAATTACACAGAAACATATAATTCTGAATAAAATACAAAAGAACAATTCCAGCTATTAGCCACAGAACAAATACCTGTTATTTCCCTCTGACTGAGCTTAGTAACAGCCATAGTTTCTTGGAAGAGTTAAACAAGAGTATAAACAATGTTATCCTGTCCTTACCATTCTTTTTTCAACATTAGATAACATTTTTCTGATAGCCTTTATACCCTCTCTCCTAGAAAAGGATTTTAATTGGAACTTTCCAAATTTTCGCCACTATTTTTTCATTACGTCTTTTTTATGTATTTTGCAAAATGAAGGAACTTTGTGGACCTTTAAACACAGGTGGGAAAATCCTTTTAAATATTCACATACTTTAAGCAATCCCTCAATAGATTTACTAACTTGTTTTATGACCACAGGGATGTCTCATCACTAACTGACTAATTTCAGTGGCTCTCTCCACTAACAGGCAGAAATGACACAGGAAGAAGCTGCCCTGATTGCAGCTTACTATATACTTGAAAACCTGTGGAGATTATTAATTAACACTTTGGGATAGGAGTGCAAATACATCCAGATGCCAGCCACAACTGAAAAATATTAAATATAATTTTTTCACACAACACTGTCTAGCAAAGGAGAACACAAAGTCTCGGTTCTATGTTGGTAAAATATTAATTTGTGTAAATGTAAAGTCTTATACTATACTATCAATTGAACAAGACTAAATTTTCTCTAAAGCATGTCAGATTATGTTTCCACTTCTTCTGGGAAGCCAATACTACCATTGTTATTTAATATTTTGTCAAAATGAAGTTCTTATTTTGTACCTTAGTTCTGGAAGTCATATGTTACTTCCTGTCCTCTAATTATTTAGACTTTTGTATAAGACCATCAGTAAATTGCTCTTAAGATTTGTAGAGGCATGGACTTTCATTTTGTATGCTTTTTGTAATACTACAGTAGCAGTGGCATACACCATTTGGAGCACCTGTATTATTTTGAACTTTGCAAGGGATTTTCTCCCTTTCTATTTCACTCCCAAATGAAGAAAATGGTAATACATACAGACATCTGGTACACTGAAAATATTGTACTGAGTAGTAAAAAAGTATAAATCACAACAAATATATTATATATGTATAATTAGATCAACTGCAGCTTCCCTCATCATGATTTAATTGTCTGGAAATAGAGAAAACCTTCAGGCAAGCATTAATGTTGTTACCATCTTATTCACAGATCCATTAAGGGTCTTACTAGCTCAGCAGTATTTCAAATACGTTTTTTAAAGGAGTTGTTTAACTAACAAAACAATTCAGCATAGCTAGGAAACAGGCTTTACAAAATACAGAACACTAAATGTTTTTTATT